AGCAGAGACAGATCCCAGGGTGTGACATTAGGTTATTTAAATATATCTTTAAACTTATAATATACCTTAGGCAGAGCTATCTTAATAGCTATCTCCTAGTATCTTTTAGGATTATTATTATAAATCTTATCTATACTCTAATTAGCTACTACTAAAATCTACTAAGTTCTTAAACTAAATCTTATTTCTCTATTCTTACTTTCCTAGGTATTACTCTTTAATATTATAATATTAGTATATTCTTCACTACTCTTAGGTGCCTATCCTAGTAATTCTATTATTACTATATATTATAATAGTTTAATTACTACTAATACTATTATTATATTCTAGCTAAGTATTATTTTTCTTAGTTTATCTCTTAACTATTTAGTACTACTATTATTTTTCTTTAATCTAATATACTATAAGGCCCTAGTCTCCCCTTTAGTCTAGTCCTATTATAAGTATTTATAGTTAAACTAAAGACTTCCTATCTTCTAGTTAATTACTAGGTTATAATTCCTAAGCTATAGAATCCTTAATACTATATTATACTATCTTATTAGTATAATATTAAAGTTTAGTTATTTAAAGTAGTCTAATATAACTATTAGTATAGTCCCTAACTTAGTTATAATTAAGAGAGTTCCTAAATTCTCTTTATTTAGATCTATAATTAGTTTAGATACTACTTTTATAATTTCTAGAAGCCCTAGCTTCTTTATAAATCCTAGATTTATATAATTCCCTATTACTCCTAAGTTAACTATTACTTAAGTTAGCTAATTTAAAATATAAGCTTAGAGTTTTAAGTACTTTCTATATTATACTTCTATAATTATAAGGTAAGGGTATTTATCTTCCTATTTTAGTAGTCTAGTATCTCTTACTAATACTAGGAAATATCCTCTCTCTAACTTTCCTTAATAATATATTATATATTAGTCTTTAAAATATACTATCTAATATATTATATTATAATCTAAATATTATCTATATCCTCTATAAGAGTATTTAAGTCTTTAATATAAATAATTAATATTTTCCTTTATAACTATTAGTACCTCTAGCTAAAACTTTACTATATACTTATTATTATAGTAAATATTATAATTATTATTATAATAAGTAATCTAGAGTACTTTATAATATTTTAGGTATCCTTAGAAATATTTATATAAATACTAGGTATAGTTATATTTCCTATAAAATAATTCTAGTAGTCTCTTTTCTAATACCTCTCTAAGTTTATAGAAATATTTATTTAACTAGTATCTATATTATTAATACTATAGAGGATATCTATTATATCTAGATATATACTTATCCTATAATTCTACTTAGGTCTAGTATTCTAGATTCTAGTAAATACATTCTTTTACTCCTTATTTTACTTTCTTAAGGATCTATATATTTAGCTAGTATATTTATAGTTCTACTAACTACTTCTTATCTAGCTATTATAGCTATATAGTATATTAATCTACTTTATTATTATCTTTTAGGGAATTATCTTAAGATATCTTAGGAATCTTATAAGATTACTCCTTATTAGAATTAAGGCTTACCCACTAAGTTCTATACTCTTTATTAAGTAGATTAATAGGTTAGTTAATTATAGTCTAATCTATTATAGGAAAATCTACTTAATCTAGCTCTCTATAGTTAGTCTTTTCTTTATTAGAACTAATAATCTAATCCTAGTTAGTCTTTTCTTTATTAAAACTAATATTCTAATCTTTATTAATAAGTATTATCTATTAGTAAATAAGCTCTCTAGGTATAATATTCTCCTAATTAATAAGACTATCTTTATTACTATTTAATAATTTCTAATTAGTGGCTATAAGTACCTTTAAGTCTTTAGTAGACTAATTATTATTTATACTTCTATACTTAGTAGAGTCTTCCTCTTAAAGCTCCTTTTTAATCTTATTATTATTAAGAGTTATATATTCTTTAAATAATTTTCTTAGCTACTTATTACTCCTTTTCTTAATTATAATAGTACTAGTTATATTATAAGCTTCTTTACTAGTATAGAACTCTACTATTACCCTAAGCTATTTTATTTTATTCTACTAACCCTATCTAGGTTATTATCTATAGTCTCTTAATATATATCTAGATTTCCTATACTAGAAATATAACTTATTATATTATTACTATTCTCTTTCCTCCTTAGAAAGTGCTAATTATATTATATCTAACTCTATTAGATATAGCCTATAAGGATCTATATATCCTTAGCTCTATAGCTAAGCTAGCCTTCTATTATTTAGTTAATAACTTATAGTATATCTACTACTAAAGATATTCTAATTACTTCATTCCTTTCTATATATATAAAAATCTTATAGTTTATTATTAACCTTAACTACTTACTTAATTATTCTGCTAAGCTTACTTAGTTACTCTATCTAAATTAACTTTTCTTAGATATCTGGCTTTAAGCCTTCTTTAAATTATATAATATTTATATCTTTATCCTAGTTTAAGTAGGATATAATCTATTAGAATTATAATATATATTCCCCTATAGATCCTATCTATTTAAGCTACTATAGCTGTCTCTTAGTATTATACTCTTTATTAATATTACTAAAAGTATTCTCTAACTATTTCTTAAATATATTATAACTAGTAAATATCTTATCTATTTTATTAGCCTAGTTATTATTAGTATGTTCCTGATAATCCCTAATAAAAGGTTTAAACTAATTAAATACTARTCTAGTTAGATAAGTTATAGTAAATAAGATCTTATCTACTTTATTAATAAGTTTCTCTTAGTTTATCTAGATATATATATCTAACTATATAAGAAATACTCATAACTTAGATTAACTTTTATTAAATAGTTCTAGTAATCTAATCTTAATAAACTTAGCTATAAGTTAATCTTCTAATTAATAGATATACTCCTAGAGCTATTTAATCTAATCTCTTAGACCTTCTACTATAATCTAAGGCTATATAGCCACTTACTACTATGCTCTAGCCCTTCTAATATTTAAGCTAGTTAGGGTTTATAGTGCATTTCCTACTATGATATTTAATATTAAGAGTTAGTTAAACTTTCTAAAGTAATTTATACTATATAATATTTAATATATTACATCCTAGGATCTATCTCTACTATTCTCTGCTAGTTAACTACTTTAGGAATAGGGTAATATAGTCCCTAGACTATATCTAATACTTATCTAAGGCCTACCCTCTGTAGTAGCCTACTATATACTAAACCTAGGTATATAGTAATATATAATATAATAATCTAACTAGAATCTAATATAATCTAAAGGTATAATAATCTTACCTAAGATTAAGGATAATAAGAATAATAATAATAGAGATAGAAGTAAGGCCTATTAAGGATATATCCTTAATAATAAGAGAGTATCTAATAAATTAGACTAGTGAACTTATACTTAAGTAAATTATCTTTATTAAATATAAAGAACTAAAATTAAGATCTCTAGATATAATAATAATAAGTATTCTTATATAGTCCTTTAATTATAACTCTCTTTATAATTTCTTTTACTATTCCTAGAATATCTCTAAAATAGACTATAGACTAGATTTAATACTTCTTATCTTAGTACTACTTACTCTCTAGGGTAGTAGTTATATAAGAGGCTAGGTCTCTTTCTAGTTATCTAATACTCTTTTCTAAATTAATTAGTAAGTATTATTCCCTTCTCTTTCTGCTTATCACATCCGCCCTGCACTAGTGCGGCTGTGTTGGTGTCATAACAATCACCTTAAGAAGTAGAAGAGTAAGAAAAGGACCCCTTTAAAGTATAAAATAGTTAAGAAATAGTATAAATTTATATATATATAGCTTGATTTCCCTTACTAGGAGGAAGTACTATTTTCTAATAAATATTCTATCTAAAGAAAGCTAAATAATTCTACCTAATTTATCTTCTAATTCTCTAATAAGGCATACTAGCATGATCTAGTTAATCTAATAAACTATGAGAAGGATATTTCATAAATAATATAGGGTATAATCTAGATTAGAGGCTATATAAAGCTAGTAATTATAGATTATAATAAATTAGCTCCTTAAGGTGGATATTCTACTAATTCTTATCTAAAATATTTTAAAGATAGCCTTCTTCTAATCTATGAGCCTGATATAATATTCTAGTAAGATAACACTAAAATCCATACATCTTACCAGGCGTAGGAGTAGTTTAAATCTTATAGAATCTAGGTCATGGAATAGCCTCTATATTTACCTAATTTAAATCTAATTAAATACCTCTAGAACTACCTAAAGAAGAAGCTTTTACAGCTCTATCCTAGACTCTTCTTAGGAGGCAGATCTAAGGTAGATTAGACCTGGTTTCATAAGGCTATTATAGAGGCATGGGATACTATCCCTTAGGAGAAGATTAATAGTCTAATTTACTTAATACCACATAGATTATGTGTAGCTTATCAGGCAAAGGGATGGTACACTAAATATTAATATCTACTATCCCCTAGTTTATTCTTATGTACTAGAATAGTATGGTGGTTGAGAAATATGGGATTGTAAATGGTTGAATTTTTTGATTTTTTAGAGTGTCCGGATACTTTTGACCTCTTAGTTTATATCTATAAGATAAAACGTGGGATGCCTGAGGCCAAATATGATCTGCACCCAAGGAGATTCAACGGAAATTGATAGACGGCAAATAATACACTGCTCCAATATCATGATTCATGACCAGGCTTTGGATTCTTGTATTCCCGTTTCCCCGATTCCCCGCCATGGCGACCGTACCGAGTTAAGATTCTGGACGGCTTCAATCTTATTGTACTAGAGCCACCTCCACTGACGGCATAGCTCGTTCCCTCCTGCCAGATTTGGCCTCCTTGACGATCTTCTTGAAATTAAACGTGGAGAAACTGTACTTTCTCCAGAGTGGGAATGAGGTGAGGAGAAAAAGATATAAGCAGCCCTTTTCCTGGTGCTGATGCACTACCTGTACTGGCGATTCTCCATCAGTAGTTTCGCCACCATGAAACGATCATTATTCACAGGTCTTTCTGCTCTTCAAGCTCTCAATGTTTTAGCCAGTCCTCTGAGTGAGAGGACTTCCGGTGTAAGTACGATGCATAGCTGCTCACCCTACCCCTGCTGACGAGTGAAGACACCCAAATCATGCAGTGAACCGCCCGCCACACTTGCACTAAGTAGCGGTCCATATGACAATTACTTTTATTCCGACTGCAATGTTGCCGCTCAAGTCGTTGTTACTAGTCCACTACCTGACAGCAATCTGAGCTTGATCGGCCCTCGGCTGATTGTAGCCTGGCCCGCGGGCAACAGCGGCATCTGCACCTACTTTGCTCCCGAGAATGGAGTCAACGGTACCCTGGGTATTTCGGTCATCAACTCTACCGTGGGAAGCCCGCTGTCCCTCAATTACACGGCTAAAGAGCCAAACGCAGGAGTCGGGGTGCAAGGCACTCTCCGCTTCAACTCGTCGGCGGTCTTGACCGTCCCCATTCTGGGCAGTATTCGCACGATCCGGGATTTCGTCGAAGGGCCGAGTCTCCTACAGCCTAAGATCCAGGATGCCATCCAGTTTACCAGCTCTCTTGATGGAAGCGTGATGCTCGAGCGTCTGTGGCTGGACAATGTCACCACGAGCGCCATCAAGTTTACTCCCGTCAACAGCACATCCAAGGCCACCGTCTCCGGCAAGACGGTTAGATTTGAGGCTGGTGACTACGCCTTTTCGGCAGAGATTGACTATCCGCAGTTGACCCAGCTGCCTCCGGCCGACGTACTAAACAATGCCTCTACAGACCTTGTGTCTAAAATGCCCGTTCAGACCACTGCGCTCTCGTTTCTCTCCTACTCCGAGAAACTTCTTGCTGGTGCATGGCGTTTTCTGACCTACTTTGGACGAGATCTGATGATAAGCGCCTTGCTTATGGATCCCGTCATGAGCTACGGCAATGCCAGTGCCATGGAGGCTGTACTGGGCTCCGTTTGTGAGCGCATCAACGCTACCGATGGTAGTGCTTGCCATGAAGAGACTATCGGGTAGGTGCAAGACTTGAATTGAGGATGTATAAACTGACGCCCGGCTAGTGACTACGCGACTTGGCTGCATCTACAGGAAAATGTCACCAGCACAACGATGATCTGCGACTACAAGATGGTGGGTCTGCACCATTACTTTTATAAGAAAATGCTGACCCTGCACAGGTTGATACAGACTTTTATCTCGCGCCTCTCATGCAAAGCTATTTCCTGAACAATCCAGTTGGCCGAACCAGGTGGCAGGCATTCTCGAGGTTTGTTTCCTTCTTTATAGTGTTCGATCCCCGGCTGACGCATGTAGCACCCCCGCTGGTGCCATCAATGCTGCAAACAAGAACCACACTTGGGGTCAGTTGGCGCTTCGCACCGCAGAGAAGATCATGAATCAGGCTGCATTGTTTGCGCACAATCCTAGCAAAGAGAACCTGGTCCATTTGAAGCCGGGTGAGATCGTTGGCGAATGGAGAGATAGCACATACGGTATGCCACTTCAAAAGCAAATCACAGTCCCCCTTTCTAAGCGACTGCAGGTATCGGAGGCGGCCGAATCCCATACGACGTAAACACAGCCTTGATGCCTGCTGCCCTGCGCGCCATCGCAGCTTTGTCCCGGGCCGCCATCTTTCCTGGCTGTCACGGCTGGGCCCAGAAGGCAGACATATACGCCCAGATATGGGAAGATGAGACTCTGCATTTCTTCGAGGTAAGACCTGCGGTAGCCATACTTCGCCGACGGAAGACTAACAGAAGTAGGTCACTATTCCCGCCGAAACAGCCAAACAACGTCTTACTTCCTACGCCCAAGCCGGTTACTTCCCCGGCCCCAGCGAAGCAGACACCATCGACTCCGACGTCGTCTTCCATGCCCTTGCCCTCGACGGCTACAACAACCTCTCCCAAGTCCAAGTCATGAACTCGGACGACTGCTTCCGCCACTTCCTCCTCAACACAACCAACCAGTCACAGCTTACCTCCTTCATCAACCAAACCGCCACCAACGTCCGCCGTACATTCCCCGCCGGCCTCAACACCGCCGTCGGCATGCTCATCGCCAACCCGGCCTACGGCCCCAACGAAGTCTACGCCCGCAACTGGACAACAGGCGCCTACCACGGCACCGTCGTCTGGTCCTGGCAACTCGCAATGATGGCCAAGGGCCTAGAACGGCAACTCGGCCGCTGCGACGCGGCCCACCAGAACGCGCGGCCAGACTTTTGCGCCGACAAGGCCGTGTATAATAACCTCCGGAGCGCGTATAATACCCTCTGGGACGGGATCGAGGCCAATAAGGCGTTGTTGAGCGAGGAGGTCTGGTCCTTTGTCTTCAGCGATGGAAAGTTCACACCCGCGCCGCTGGGGAATATCCCTCCCCCTCCGGGTGTGAGTGCGCAGACTGGTGAGCCTTGACCCCATCCTCACTATCTTAAGTTAGGTACTAATGGTGATGATCCAAACAGAATCGGACATTGTCCAATTATGGTCCTTGACGTTTCTGGCCGTCACCCGGAACCAGGTTTTTCGGTGATTGGCCGGTCTGACGAACCTGGGCTGTTTGCATATCATGCAGAGGGATGGAATCATTCGTGAAAGGTACCGAATGTGTTTTATAGGGCTCGACCGCCGTGCGGTGGGTGTACATGGCTAGTTCGAGCGATTGGCTCCGCACAAACAAGGGCTATCTACCTAGAATTTACATAATCCTGCTCAGACATCATTCCCGACATGCATTTTTGGTACAGTCATTCCCATTGTTGAGGCTTTCTTTCCGGGGGAGCGTAGAGCGCATGGCGCACAACGCACCAGGCAATGCAGGATGGTCTTATGGGAGTATATTGAAGAATCTATATACACGAGAATACAGGAGAATTATTCCGATACGGGTCTTGATTGTCTGTTCCAGGAAGTAAGCAGAGTCGAGGATACGATGTACTCAGTCAGTCTGGGGCAAACGTATGAATCGCTGAAAAAATACATCCAGCTTGAATACCTCAGCTTGAGCACCTCAGCTAATCACACAGCGTAAAGTCCTCCAGACCTGCATCCGGGACAGTTTCCTCAGGAAGGCAGAAGTCAACTTGTTCGCCTTTGAGGTTGGTGAAGACGGCCGCGTATGCGTTCTGCAAAACTTAGTACAAGACTGGTTATATTGAAAGGGGACATGGCATACCTCGGCATAAGTGATGAACTCATTGTAGATACCATCGGCCTTCATCCTCTGGCGGACGAGATCGGTGACTCCGCCGAGGAGGGCATTCACCGTGGTTACTTTGCTGTCCCAGGTAAGGAGGGCCGAGACGCCCTTTCCATCGACACGGGTGGATTCGGTGCTGCCGTAGGGGTCTATGTCATTATTAGCATTGATCCATAGACGGCAGACAGAGGGAGGCTACTTTGCATCTTCTTGGCGATAGCCATGTTTCTCCACCAGGCGAGCCCGACTCCCTTGTCGAAGAGGACGGTTGGGAACACGCTGTACGGGGTGATGACGTCCAGTTCCTGCTGCGGGAGGAAGGCGACGGAGGGGATACCGGCGTTGGAGATGTACCCGGTCACGTCGCCGGTGGCTGGGTCGGTGATATTGTTGACGGAGGCGAACATGCCGGGGGTCTTGGTGACGACCGAGTTGCAGGTTCGGACTCGTTCGGCGTTTTTAAAGACACGGCTTTGAGGCGTTAGTTTTGTTGTTATACGAGAATGAATACTGACATACCGGATAATGTCGACGTCGTAGTAAGGCATTTCTAGGACCTTCCATTGCTCGTGGCTTGAGAACCAGTAACCTGTCATCTATGAGCAGGACTTCCTTTGCCAGCTTCGACAGACGTACCCTTTTGCACAGTAATGGGTCCTACGTGACCCATATTGTAGTCGACGCTCTGCAGCATGGGCTGCTTCACAGCCCAGAGCTGTTCTATGTCCGCATCGGACAGACCACCGAAGAACTGGAGCCAGAAAGTAAACAGCTCGCCCTCGTAAGGATCGTTGAGCCGACCACTGCCTTCGCAGGAGTATCCTTGGTCAGGATGATCCACTGGCAGGGACTGGTTCTTGATGGTCGTTACGGCGCACACTTGGCCTTTGCCTTCATAGAAGATCTTGAGAAATTAGTCAAGACAATGTTACACGAGAGCAAGAAGCTCTTACCTTGGCTTCAGTGGTTTTGGTGTAATCCATCCACTTCTGCCACTCGCTGGCCAATTTGACATAAGATGACTTTCCAGTATTTTCCAAGGCTTGAACAAAGGCATAAACAGCCCAGAGAAGCTCACTTTGAGAGGTTAGTTAACAGACACAGCAGCCTTGGAATTGAAAATACCCATTGTCCAGTCCAGGAACACGATTGTTCCAGTCCCAAGTCGGTGTGAGGTCCTGGGCCGTGGAAGTGAACCAAGGAAGATAACCTCCAAACCCAGGAAACGTATCATTGAATCTCAAGTATGTTTGCAGCTTCCTTTCCATAATCGAGACAGCAAGCTCTGGTGCTGCTGACGGATCCTGGGGTGAAAGAAAACGAGCGGCTTCCGGCGAACCAGCAACAGCATGCGCATACAGCATTATTTGAAGCGACTGTTTCCAACTATTAGTATTAACAATAGCAAGCCTGAAGACGACTGACCTCTTTACTTGCGGCGCTGAAAGGATGCTTGACTGTTCTCTCTCCAGTGGTAAAGTCGATGTTCGTCCCGTCGTAAGACATCCCATTATCCGAGTTGTACGAGACATTGTTCTGGTGGAATTTACCCTCCCAGTACAGCAGATCGTTGATGAAGCTGCTGGGATCCGTCAAGATTTCCTTCTGCGTGTATTGGCGAGCAAACTGGCAGGATGGTTCGCTCGGTTTTTGAGGCAGAGCATCTGTCAAGGCAGCCCATGACAAAGCAAAATATGAAAGCTTGCTCACGCGCATACTGAGGATCAAATATCAGACTGTGGGAACGCTTGAGGATCGATTGCAGTAGAAAACGGATGCGATATCCGTCATTTTATATGTATACAGCAATGGAGCAACCGACCGGTTGATTCTTGATAATTTGCTGCCGTAACCTGCATTTCTGCAACCCCGCAAACTCTCCACACTTTATTTTGTTGCATCGGTAATTCCTGTAATCCCTGGGTGCAGATCAACGGCAAAGTAATTAGACTGTGAATATGACCGTCCAGCACAGACAACATCTATCGTAGTGTCGGAGAAATGCCTGGTGCAAATCTCCGCTTCTCGGCGAAACTCTCGAGAAGTTTCTCATGCTCTGTCCGCTCTCTCCGCTCTCCCCGCTCTCCGCTCAATCTGCTCCTTAATTTCTCCAATTCTCCTGCTTGTTTGCTGTCCACTAACTCTCCTTATTGTCCGAATATGACTGCGATCAGGGCCTGTGATCGCTGCAGACGAAGAAAAGCCAAAGTAAGCCATAGTTAATGAAGCATGCATTAGCCGACTGGCACATTGAGATCTATCGGACTAACTATCCACAGTGTGACGGAGAAGCAGCTTTATCCATTTGCACAAGCTGTCGACGGGCTGGAGAGCAGTGCACTTTTAATTTGCCCGTTGCGCGACGAGGACCTAAGAGCAACAAATCGAGACGTCATGCACCACCGTCCGCCGATGTTCATGGCCAGGATATCGCTCTATCAAGCTCTCTCCACGCGGGACAACCTGCCACAACTCTGCAATTCTCCGCTGTCTCCCCTACGCCGCCCGGCCCCGTTGGCTCTCTCGATCTCCGCACTCCGAGACCGAGCTCCCTGACAAGCTCGCCCTCTTGGAATACCGGCCTGGTGGACCCGGCACTGTCTCCCCCTGAAGAGCAGACGCCGTTGTCCTCGTTGCAGCGATGGCATCACTTGGCGCGCGCCCTTCACTTGCGCGATCCTGTGGCAGATCTGGAGCGGACGGTCAATCGATGCTTTGACCTGTTCTTTGAATACTTGTTTCCCCTAATTCCACTAGTTCATGAGCCCAGTCTACGTGACGGCTTGCGTTTCTTTGTGTCCCAAGCAGCTAGGTCAGGTATTGGCGTCACAGGCCCAGAGCTGTGGTCATCTTTCGTCCGCGGAAATCCTATAGATGCGGGCAGCATTCTCGATCGGGCAAACAGCTTGAAGTACCCGGAACTCTGGCCTGATTCAGCCTTCACGCTGATCACTGCCGTCTGCGCCGAAGCGGCATTTCTCTTGCCCAAGGACATTTTCCCCGAGGGCGAGAGGATCGCGGACTTATTCCTCAAGGCATCTCGGAGTTGTTTGCACAGCTACCTCGAGGAAGATCTGGAGTATCCCAATGCGAACTCTGTGGCTATCCGCTACTTCCACTCCAACTGTCTCCATGCAGCCGGCAAGCCTCGATTTTCATGGCACATTTTCGGGGAAGCCACCCGACTGGCGCAGGTCATGCAGATGCATGACGAGATGTCACTGCAGAACCTGTCTGCGGTGGAGGCAGAGCTCCGCCGACGTGCGTTCTGGATCGTTTACATCGGAGACAAGTCAGCAGCAATCCTTAACAATCGTCCAATCACCATTCACAAGTTCTCGTTCGACACAGGCATTACCACTGCATACCCTTCTGGCATTGAGGATGGCACAGGAGTCTCCCCTGCCAGTGCCGAACCGGATTTGTCCACGCGAATGAGCTTCATTGCGGGGTTCAACGCAAATCTACGTCTATGGCAGACAGCTTCAGACCTCATTCTCGAGATGCGGCTCCTGGAAAGTCAGAAGGAGGTAGGGATGCTCACTCCACGACTATTGACCGTTGAAGAACGCCATAGGCTCGGAAACTTATACGTCTCGTTCATCACGTCGTTGGACAAGTTGCCGCAGTATTTACAAACCGACACTCTATTAGCATCGATCAACAACAACAGTAGTCATCGCCGAAAGCAGTACGTGATCCAGTGGGCGAATCTCAATGTTTCGCTGCACTGCTTGAGATTGGTCATCGATCAGAAGCTAGAAGATCTGGGCTTCTATGCATCGGGAGTCGAACATCCCGATATGTCATTACTGAGGAAGACGGAAATAGCTCGCGACATGCTGCGGGTGATCCGAGAAGCGCCCTTTTGGTCGCTACAGGTAAACGGGGAACCATGTGTATGTTTCTGATTGCTTGTTTCTCTGCTTCATTTGGCTAAAAGCCCCACAGGTTGAAAAAATAAGGCTCATTGGCGCCAGCCTGCTGGAGATAATAGACCAGTATGAGGCTTCTCCACTGTCGGTACGAGCACGAAACGATCTTTCGATCCTTCTAGACATCCTCACTCGCCTGGATTCAAAAGCCTCAGACTCACTTAGAAGGCCTTCGTGAGGGCTAGATGTCATATGGAAATAGCTTGACTTGGCAATATCATGATCAAACTCACAACTCCGCTCGGAACACTTCAGGGGCTGGCAAGGCCTGTTCTTTGGCGCCGACACCCATTCGCTCTTCAAAAATGCGTTTCAGCAGCAGAGCAGATTTCTTGGGCGTTCTCTTCAGAGTCTGATAATCAGTGAATGTCACGCCGAATCGAGGTCCATAACCATCGGACCATTCTGCACGGGACAGTCAGCCGCCATATACTCTTCACGTTAGTCAGGAGCTCACCTAAATTATCCAGCAACGACCATGCAAAGTAGCCTCTGATATCAGCACCGTCTTGATTGACGGACAGGCCCACGGCTTCTAAATGATCCTCAAAATACCGGATCCGATACATGTCATTGACCGACTCGTCACATGGCATCCGATCCTCTCCAGGACAGGGACATCCGTTCTCGGTGATGAAGATTGGCTTTCGGTACAGGCGATACACTCTCGTGAGGTGCTTGCGAAAATTGTCTGGGCACGAGCGAAGCCAGTGGATACCGCTTGGTTCGCCAACCGACATCCCTTCGCTATTCTCCTGAAACTCATCTACATTGCCGATATAGTCCGTTTCGGAAGCTGGTTGATCGCGATGGCGAGCAAACTGGGATGTATAGTAGTTCATCCCATAGAAATCGCTCTCGGCTTCACGAAGGAGTGCAAAATCAGAGGGGGAAAACTCGGGCAGGCGATCCCTAAGTTGCTCGCGCATGCAAACTGGGTAGTCTCGTGCAAGACTGCAATGGCTGTTAGCTGGGATGTACGCGTCAGAATCAACCAAAGTCTACTGACAAGATGGGATTGGCGAACCAGCCAATGTGGAATTCCATGCGACGCTCTGCAGCAGCGTGATCCCGCTCATCTTCTGCATTCCAAGGCTCATAGTAATCCCCGTTCAACGAAATTCCAATCTTTCCTTTCTGGACAGACCGAAACTCTCTGTTGTACAAGGCAGCGGCGCGGGCATGGCTCATGATCAGTGCTTTTCCGACAATCCAAGGCTCAGTCGCGGTGTCGCCCTCGGTCGATTGAGGATTTATACTGCTTCTTCCAGGAGCATTGCCACCGGTTGCGTATCCCTGGACGCCCGAGTCAGCTAACAGTTTCGATCTTGAAGTGAACGAGACTTACGAAAATGGACACAATCCATGGCTCGTTGAGGGTAATCCAATTCTTGACTCGGTCACCGAACCGCTCATAGCAGACCCTTGCGTACCGCTCAAAATCTCTCTGTGATTCCTCCACATTCAACCAGCCCCCGTATCTGTCATGCAGCGCCTGCGGCAGGTCCCAATGATACAGGGTAACCCACGGCGTGATGCCTCTCGCCAGCAGCGAATCAATGAGCTTATTGTAAAAAGCGACACCGGCTTCGTTTACTGGGTCCTCTCGACCTCCTAAGGGGATTATACGCGACCAGGAAATAGAGAATCTGTACTCTTTCGCACCATATCGTGTGAGTAGGTCAAAGTCCTCTTCATACCGATGATAGTGGTCACAGGCGACATCGCCGTTGGCACCTTTGGTCCGCGAGGGCTCCAGATGGCAGAAGGTATCCCAGATGGACTCTCCTCGTCCATCTTCGTCAACAGCACCTTCTATCTGGTAGGCGGCTGTAGCGAAGCCCCAGGTAAAGTGAGCGGGAAGAGGCGTAGGAGATGGCATGACTGAGGAATTGAGGAACGTACACATGGACGATGGCTCAGAAAGGTTATGAGCGCCACAATTGCCGTCGAACAAGAGAGAATTAACTTATACTTTGATTATTTTCGATCAGAACGATCTCATCGCGGAGTATCTTCCACGACAGCCGGGGCCGCGGGGCAGCAGATGATGATCGTCGGCGAAATACTCCATACATCAGGTGTGATTTCTCCGTTGGATATCCCCTGATATTTCGCCGAAAACTAAACTTTCCCCAGCAGAAGTGGAGTTCCCTACGGGAACAAATCCGTCGTGATAATCTTTTCCCTGATCTGTTCCAGAATCAGACGACCCCAACCTGGACTGTGGCTTGCATAGTCATGACTCCAGTATGGCCTCTGGTCTGATGGCCTTCTATAAGAGGATGCGAATAAGTCCTGCATTTTTGAGCTGATCTATGCCAGTGCACCGACTTGTGTATCATCTTATATCGTACCTTATCCTGAGGGACGCAAGGAGTCTCAGCAACAATGGCACCCGCTGCTGCCCATGCTGCCGATGGCATCTTATCACCAATTGATCTAAAGTCCATTCCTTCCTTCTGGCATCGGAAGAATGGTATTTTGCTCTACTTTCTGCTTACATCTTCCCTCTTGGCGAGTGCAGCTTTGGGCATTGATGGGGTGAGAATGTCTCTTCCGTTGTTATAGCACTACTAACATGAACTACAGTCGATGACGAACGGCATGCAGGTCTTGCAATCCTGGAAAGATAGATTCGGCCACCCGACTGGCTCCCGATTGGGATTCTTTGGAGCGGCCAACGCGATTGGAGGTGTCATTCCTTTTATCTTTCTCAGCTGGATTGGGGATAAGTTCGGGCGACGTCTTCCTACAGCTTTGGGATCTGTAATTATCATCGTCGGAGTCCTCATTGAGTTCTTTGCCACCTCGTTGAACATGTATATCGGTGGAAAGATTGTGCTGGGCGTGGGCTCCTCGCTCATCCAGATGGGTGCTCCAGTGCTGGTTACCGAGCTGTCTCATCCCAAGGAACGAGTGCAAATCACCACTTTCTACAACACCTCCATCGTTCTGGGCTATGTGATTGGTGCCTGGGCGACTTTTGGATGCTACCGCATCAACAGTCAATGGTCGTGGAGACTACCCACCCTAGTCCAGGTCATTCCATCGGCTTATCAATTCTGCCTCATCTGGTTTTGCCCGGAATCCCCTCGATGGCTGATTGCCAAGGGTCGGCTGCAGGAAGCACGCGCGATCCTGGTCAAATATCACGGAGAATATGATCCCAACTCCGAGCTAGTTAATTTCGAATGCGCAGAGATTCAGCAGGCCATCGCAAAGGAAGCGGAGAACAACATGACGTGGAAGGACTTTTTCTCCTCCGTGCCCAATCTCAAGCGGATCTTCCTCTGCTTCGCCACTGCAGTCTTCAGTCAGAGTTCGGGCAACCTTCTCGTGTCAAACTATCTCACGCAGATCCTGAAGGACACTGGCTTGAAGACCGAGTTTGAGATAACGCTGGTGAACGGCATGGTCACCTTGTGGCAGTACATTGTCGCCATCACCGTGACCTTGATAATTGACCGATTCAAGCGGCGCTTCTTCTTCCTCACCGGCTCCGGAGGCGTGCTGGTCACCTTCATCGTGTGGACCATTGCAGCGCAGCGCTACCTGGAAACCAGCTCACTGGCCGCGGGACGACTCGTGCTCGCCTGTATCTTTGTTTTCCAGGCGTTTTACACCCTTGCCTGGACCAATTTGATCGTCACATATCCCTTGGAGATCGTTACGTATCAGATGCGCGCGAAGACGTGGGCCTTTGTCTTGTTGACGATCCAGGTGGCATCCATCTTTGGCGGGTATGTCAACCCCATAGGGCTGAAGAATATCGGCTGGAAGTTTTACATCTACTACTGTGTATGGGTTGCCATCATCTTCGCTGTCGTGTACTTCTTCTTCGTGGAGACTGCTGGTCCGACGCTGGAGGAGTTGACGTACCTTTTCGAGGGTCAGGATGAGAAGATGCAGCTGGCGCGGAAGATTGAGGAGACTAAGCAGGATGTTCATGTATCAGAGCATGTCGAAAAGCTTGCTTGAGACCCGTAGCAATCCATCTGACCATATTATTATCTGACTATTTCATGCCGTCTGTCAATGCGCAAATTGAGTCAGCGGGACCAAGGCAATGGATAGGCCGTGATATCATGCCGCAGTAATTCTGCGAATAATAATGGCGGTGACTAATCCTCTTGCGGCCTTGTCCTGTGTAATGGCGGGGATCGCCGATTCCGCGGAGTTGGAGTCACTCTCTTGTTCCTTGATAAGAACCCACAATGCAACCTTGCTTTGAACTTCTTCGAGGCTTTTTCCCTTCCTAAATGCAGGACACAATTTTTCCATCAAAGTCCTCCTTGCGCAGAAATCTCTGCTCGGGATGAGTGAGTCTCTCCTGGGCATGCGGGGAGTCGCCTTTCGGCTCTCTCCGCGCAGTTATCGCCGGCTAGTACCGAGGGTTCGTCTACACAGCAGAATTGCCACAGCTGCTGTAGAACCGTCGACAACAAGCCACAACACCCATCTTAGCTCGACAACTTACCCTCTTAACCCCTCGTCACCCTCCTCCGCAACCCCTTCCTCCAGATGGACCGCTCTCCGATCCGCAAGACCCTTCTCCGACTTCCTCACCGACACCTTCAACCGCCAACATGACTACCTCCGCATCAGCGTCACCGAACGCTGCAACCTGCGCTGTCTATACTGCATGCCTGAGGAAGGCGTCCCGCTCTCCCCGCCCGCGCACCTCCTTACCACCCCGGAAATCGTGTACCTATCCTCGCTGTTCGTCTCGCAGGGCGTGACCAAGATCCGGCTGACGGGTGGCGAGCCGACGGTCCGCAAGGACATCGTCCCGCTTATGCGGTCAATCGGCGAGCTGCGGCGGAATGGACTGCGGGAGCTATGTCTAACCACAAACGGGATCTCGTTGCATCGGAAGCTGGAGGATATGGTTGAGGCAGGCCTAACGGGTGTGAATCTCAGTCTGGACACGCTGGATCCGTTCCAGTTTCAGATTATGACGAGGAGGAAAGGGTTTGAGGCGGTGATGAAGAGCATCGAGCGCATTCTGGAGCTGAATCGAGCGGGGGCGGGGATCACGTTGAAGATCAACTGCGTGGTTATGCGGGGGATCAACGATCGGGAGATCCTTCCGTTTGTGGAGCTGGGGCGGGACAGTCCCATCGAGGTGCGGTTCATCGAGTACATGCCCTTTGACGGGAATAAGTGGAGCCAGGGCAAGATGGTCTCGTACCAGGAGATGCTGGCGGTGATTCAGGAGAAGTACCCGTCTCTGGAGAAGGTGGTCGGGCACAAGAACGATACCAGCAAGACGTATCGGATCCCGGGCTTCCAAGGACGGGTTGGGTTTATCACGAGTATGACGCATAATTTCTGCGGCACATGCAATCGGCTGCGCATCACCGGCGACGGGAACCTGAAAGTCTGTCTGTTCGGCAATACGGAGGTGTCGCTGCGTGATATCATTCGGAAGGAGAATGATGGCCAGCCGATTGATGAAACCACACTAAAAGAACTTCGGCTTCTTGAGTCTGCGGAAGCAGCCGCTCGCATTCAGGACGAGGGTGGCGAGGTCAATCAGAGAGAGCGAGAGCTCCTTGATCTGATCGGGATGGCGGTTAAGCGCAAAAAGGCCAAACACGCCGGCATGGGCGAATTGAAGAATATGAAGAATCGGCCGATGATACTTATTGGTGGGTAGGCGCGACTTGTTCTTTTCATCATTTCATATACCCGTCTGCAAATTGCGTACATTCTGGCGTCTGGCTTTCTTACTTGATTTACGATGTGACCATGATGTATTTGAATTGGATATATAAGACTGGTCTGGCACCACCAATGCTGATAGGAGCTTAGATAGTACGACATTGACATCCAGAATACCTCCAGCCAATATCCCCCTTCATCTTCTGCATCCTTCGCCGTTTAAACTCCAAGCTCGTCACTATCACCACAAGCGTAGCAACCCTCCCGACTCCCGTCCAGAACACAAACCAGAAACAGAAACAGCTCCATCATCATCACCATCCCTCCCAACAACCTCCGACCCCGACCTCCCCCACCTCACCCCTTCCCAAACCGTGCACATGACCCAAATCACCGAGAAACCAATCACAGCCCGATCCGCAACAGCAAGCTGTCTCGTCCACTTCTCCAACGCACGACCACACGAGCTGCTGCGCAAGGGCCTCACCAAGAAAGGCGACGTGTTCAGCGTCGCCCGCATCGCGGGGATCATGGCCGCCAAGAAAACACCGGACCTGATCCCGCTGTGCCATCCGAGTATTGGGATTACAGGCGTGGAGGTAGACGCCAAACTGGTTGACCCTGCATCGCTAGATCCAAGCTCGGGGATGCGCTATGGGGCGATGCGGGTGGTGGCGACGGTTAGTTGTGCGGGCCGGACTGGGGTGGAAATGGAGGCGATGACGGCGACGGTGGGGGCTGCGTTGACGGTGTATGATATGTTGAAGGCTGTGGATAAGGGGATGGTGATTGGCGAGGTGCAGTTGTTGGAGAAGAAGGGGGGGAAGAGCGGGCATTGGGTGAGGGAGGAGCAGGTTGAGGTAGAGCCTTGATTGGGTCTTTGCGCTTATAGCTTTTTAGCATAAGCTAATGCTTACTATCTACTCTTTCCCTGTGTAGTTTGCAGGCTGGTCTAATACCATGGGTATACACTCCGTCTCTAAGCAGCTGCATATGTTATTTCCCTCCAACGGTAAGCGTATGTATATGAACTTCTTCTGAGGACCCATCAAGGATGCGCCATTTTGCGTTATAAGCGATCTGGTAGGTAGGGGCCAATTCTCCATTCAACCTCGTTCTTCTATAGCACCTGAATACATAACGTGACAAGCCTCGGACAAAACTAGCCGTCCCTTTCAGTCCAAGATAGTCTTCCGGATCCCAGAAATCCGTATCGTCCCAGTGAGTGTCTGGGCCCGTGCAATAAGTGGTTCCTTCGGTCAGAGATCCGTCGCAGTCAGGCCTGGACAGTGATGGATTGACATCCATGAATAAGGTTGAGGGAATCCCTTCTGTGTAGTAGCTCAGAAGCTCATGAAGGTCTTAACTTTGCCCTAGATAACCCTAAGATCTTGTCAAACTTTTCTGAGACCTTGGTGAACAGCAACCTGGAAGAAGCCTCACCTTCTCTGTAAGCCCTAGTTCCTAGGCAACCACCAGTGCCTCAGTGCCTGATCCCTCTTGGCAACAGATCCCAGGATTTAAGGTCGGACACAATTGTCACAGCGGTCATCAAAGTCATTGGGCGAAACTATTCTAGACTATAAAAAGGGGAACCAAAAAAAAAAAGGAAAAAGAAAAAGAAAAGGAAAATGGGGCGGAAAGACAAAGAAAAAGGAAAAAAAGGGAAAAGGAAATAGGAAAAAGAAAAGCGCATTCATAAATAAAATAAATAAATAAATTACAATAAAAAGACTGCCATTTTAAGAGAGCCATTGATTATATGGTGAAGGGAAAACCGAGCCACCCAAAAGATATTCAGATATTCAGACTATGTATAGTTAAAGTATACTAGGTAACATAGTTTAGACAGCCGCCTAGCCCTAGCTTAATTCAAACCTACTAGATAGTCTTTATGGATTGAACAACTCAGTCTTATATTTATTTTAGTAAGGTCAACATAGTATAAACTAACTATATCACTAGGGACTAATACAGGTAACAGTCTAACAGAACACTTAAGAGCATACTATAAGAATTAAATAAATCTTTAGCTTAATTTCTTTTTAGTAGAGCACTAGAGCAATATATACTCTATATATGTATCATGTTATAGTTTAGTATGCTCAGGTATGAAAATAATAACCTAAGTAAGATATACTATCTGTTGTTAGTGAGAGCAGGTACCTGAGTATATTATGTCATGAGCATTCTGCTCTCTGTACTAACGAATATCTCAATAGAAATGCGATTCACGGGATGAATTCTTCCTCACCCTCATATGGCGACAAAACATAACTATGCTTTCATCATTCAAAGCTCGATTTCGGGTCTACCAATCATCTACAAAACCACTTGAATAGGGAAGCTTTCCAGAGTGAATATGATAGTACTATTTCAAAGCTCGTTGCACATATTCAGGAGCATTTCATTACATCCAGCATGAAAGATACTTGCGATCCCCTAGATTACATAGTCCCGGTAATTCCGCCGCTAACTGAGATAAACTGTGCAGTGATCCACCGGCTCTTTTCTGATACTAGCAGAAGCGTAGCATCAGCCACATCCTCCACTGCCCCGAGGCGATTTGCAGCTCGCGTCTGTTCATACATAGAAAGCTGAAGCGCAGTTGGAGTCCCGTCAGGGGCCACCAGATACGCTTTCGACATGTGCGTTGGAATTGGACCGGGGGCGAGTGTATTGACGGTAATTCCGCGGCTCTTGCCAAGCTGTCCGGCATTTCGTTAGATGGTTGTGTGGGAAAACACGAAAGTAAGAAAGGCTTGTGTTGGAGCTCTTGTAGCAATAATGGTATTGTTCTGTCACCCTGACTCGCCCTACATATGCATTAGGTTAAGAACCTGTATCTACATGAGTTATGACTGGGTCGTGACCCACACAGTAGCTAGATAATACCTACAGCCATCTTACACATGCTACAGCACCAATACATCAAATAGAGCCACATTGAAAGTCAAGGGTTCCGCAATTATTAATCCCCCCAATTTGCATAGGTTTGCATCATTGTCTGTGCTGTTTGTTCTGATGACCAAGGACCAATCAACGTCCTGAGGTCTGGGTTGGCTGCTCGTCCGTGGTTTTTGTTGATAACTAAGGCCTAATAAACGCTGATGAAAATCACAAGAGTAGGTAGAATTAACTATCCAGCTTACCAAGCGTTCGGTCTTCTCTGGTGCCGAGCTGAATAATTCATGTCCTGATGTTCCCGCTATTGGAGTATACCGGTGCTTTTAAGTAGTCCTTGTAGTCTTTGTATCGAACTCTCTTTTCCCAATCAATCAATCAATCAACCATACAGTCACTCGCCATGTCTCTCAAAACCCTCACTCTCTGGACCCTCCGGGGCCACGCCGGCACGCCCAACCCCTGGAAGGTCCTCATGATCCTGGAAGAGCTCAAGGTACCCTACGAGACCAAGTCGGTCGATCTCGGCGACCTAAAGAAGGAACCCTACGAGTCTATCAATCCCAACGGTCGTGTTCCCGCCCTCGAGGACCCGAACACCGGCATCACCCTATGGGAATCCGGCGCCATCCTCGAGTACCTGGTGGACACATACGACAAGCAACACACCATCAGCTTCAGCGCCGGCTCGAAGGAGTACTACCAAAGCAAGCAGTGGCTACACTACCAGGTGTCCGGCCAGGGACCGTACTTCGGGCAGGCCGCCTGGTTTACGATCTACCACCCTGAGAAGGTGCCCAGTGCGGTCGAGCGATATGTTAACGAGATCCGTCGTGTCTCGGGCGTGCTTGACCGATCGCTCCAGAACAAGGAGTACCTCGTTGGCGGCAAGTACAGCTATGTTGATGCTGCTTTTGTGCCGTGGTTCGACGTGGCTGCGCTCTTCTGGTCGAATGAAATGGGTCTCGAGAAGAACTTCCCGCATGTTAATTCCTGGTTGAACCGTATCAAGGCTCGTCCGGCTATTGCCAAGACCATTGATGATAAGGCCAAGGCCGCGGCTGCGGAAGGGAAATAAGGCAATGTGATGGCGGATAAACCTCCTAGACAGAAGGCGAAATGGGCTAGCTTTAGGAAACTTGTGATATTTTCTTTCTTTCTTGCTTAATATGACTCTGCAAGTCTCTGGTCCTCTAGTATTTTTTATAACTTAGCATCTTCAGAAGCCATGGGCCCATGGACCATGGTTATATTATGTCACATACAATCGCAGAGAGGGAAGTTGTAAAGATTAAAGTTGTATAGATTTAGTGACAATCAAGTTTATCTTTTTGACCTTTAGGGTGCTGAGCCTATTATAAGTAGCTATATCACCAACCTAGAGCATACATCACTCCCTGCCTAAGTTAATTATGATTAGGGCTGTCATGTCCTGCTGGCTCTTATGGTTTGGCTATGATAGTGTGTTTAGACTGTATTAAAAGTAGGTGCATAGTGATGGATGCTGTATGTTATTTAATATGCAGTCTATCTCTATGTTTTGATTGGGCTTTCTAATTAGCTATGATATCCCTATTGACTGGTTATATTTGCTATTAGGGCCTTCTGGCTTATAGAGAAATTATAGGCTAGGGACCGTAGGGCTAGGCTAGGTTTATTTAAGTAGTTTCCAAAAGGAGGAAAGACTGAGAATTGCTCCAGGAAGTTGTCAAAGGGTAGGAGGCTGGAGGCCTAGAGGACCCCGTGAGACAAGATAGCTCTTATACATATTACAGAGCCTGGGGAATCAGGCGTGTCTGTTAGATATCTGCTGAACTATTATTTCTACTAGCTAGAAATAGTTGTCTTGACACCTTTTTAGCTCAGTGGTTTAAGTGCATTCAACATTTTCTGTCTTTTATGTGAGTAAACATTGAGGGCAATGCAGACTAATAAAATAACCACTGTTTTATTTTTCAGGTAGATCTACTCTCTTCTTCTCATTCTCTTCTTTAAGGATTTGTGCGTTATTCACACAAGCCCTAATGGTTGCTCATTGACCAGGAGTAACTGTTGGCTATCAACGCAAATCACACTATAGTCTGCAACTGTTCTGGGGTTTCAACTATCAGCTTTGACAAGTTTTGTAGACTTTCATCAGTCATATTATGATTGTGCACTCACAGCAAGATTAGAGTTTCGACAAGGCAAAATAAATCCAAGGATGATAGCATGTCTTATCGTCCACAGGATCCAGAATCATTGGCAGATAGTTCAGGCGCCAATCTTCTTGGAAGGCCATATCAAAGTAACTCGTATTCACATTCATCCACCGCGCCTTGCAATATTCCCAGTATGCAGGGTACCATCCAGCCTGGGCCCAGTCGACGATCGCAGCCACTTTCGGATTCCGCCCCGAGGATATGATGATATTGGGTGGAAGAAGATCATTATGTGTAAACACAACGGGTACCTCACTGCTAATTTCAATCCTGCAAGTGTGGTGAAACTGTTCGACAGCGTTGGTGCCTTGGAAGGGACCAACAAGCCCTGGACGGTCTACGAGAAGTACCTCGTTCAGTGGTTGCTTGCCTAGACTGCCTATAAAACTCCGGTGGTTAGGTCTTCCTGGATCCTATAAGGTTGATCAACTCACCAATGTAAGGGACATCAAGGTCTTGTTCCAAAGTCCTTATCATTTTCATGTAATGGCCAAGTTCCCCACAAATGGCTCGTATCTCGTCTTCATTCAAGTCGCCCCATCTCTCCATTAACGTCTCACCCTCAACGAACGACATGTAAATAAAAGTCTGTCCCGCATCCTCTGCCCAGCCAAAGACTTCAGGAACAGGCACACGGTTTTGTAGCTGCTCGCGTAGCATTATTTGGGTCTGGGCTTCAGCAATAGTTATATCCGCGCCATACTTCACAACCAACCCCAGCGATGGAATCATGGCAGGTGGTGGACAATTGAAGCTTGTGGCAGAGGGATCGCCCGACCCTTCGTTGATGGCTCGAACATCAGCTGGCGATGGAAGTGCATCCGCTCGTCTCTCCTTGAAGAAGCTGGATTCGGGGAAGATCTGCATTTGAGTGGAGATGGGATGGATTTCTTCCATAACACGTAGGCCTGAAAACGTCAATATGGAAAGTAAGAGTTAAGTGACTTGGGAGGGGGTTACTCTAAATGAATGTTCGTGGCCAGCTACATGATAACCAGTTGAGTTAGATAAGTCCACACCACGTTCCCTTACCCATGCGAAGGGAGGACACTTGCCTTTCTCTCAATGGATACTGGAGCAGGAAAACAGTCGAAAGTGTGTGTTATTTGATTTCTGACTCTTTTGATAGTCAGAGACGTTAACATGTATAGACTGTTTGTTGAAGATGGGCAAGAGGAGAGATAAAGGCTTCCGCGGTTGCTCAGGATTAAGGTAGGCACCCGCTTATAGGTACCGAGTACCGACTCTTCCCGCAAACCTTCTCGGATTTGGTGAAAACCGCTGGCTTTTTCAGCCAAAGATCAAGATTTTTAATTACTAGGTAGACTAGAGGAGCTGTATATGAAATATTCAATCAAATATCTAGCAAATAGCTAGCAAATATCTAGTATTGCACATATCCAGTGAACAAGCTATCAGGGTATCGATTCCAGACATTTATCTTTCAAATCATCCAGGAGCTAATCAATGAGGATGACCGTATCACAGAAGATCCGTCTGTAACGGGAAGCTCTTCCAGTACTGGCTCCAGTCTTTTTTCTGTATCCCCCGAGTGGGCGGCCAGATCTCATTCAAGAGATCTTCGATCTGCTGGGGTATATGTACACGGCGGTTAGTAATGTCGGCCTCTCGCCACAATTTCCATGCTTCTTTCCCAATCTTCCCAATCTCCCGCACATCCGGGTTCCTGTGGCTGTAGGAATCAGACCGGCTGAGAAGAAATGAATGACTCAGTTGCCGGATCACATGCTTCTCCTCCTTCGAATAGGAGTTCGCTCCGAAGGGTATGATGCGTAGCTTTCTCAGTCTTCTGCTGGGTTGACTTGACGCAATGAGATCCCAAATTCTGATTGCAAGGCTTTCATCCGTCGCAGCATTGATCAGAATCTCTCGTAGACAAGCAGTGCTAGGTATTTCTCCCCAGATAAGCGACTGTCGTCTGGGATCGCAATGCAAATCCAGGATTAAGGTATGCAGCTGCGTGAATTGACCAAGTGCTCTGTATATGTTGCACTCCCGGTGATTGCCTCCTTGGCGCTTAATCTGGAGCCGAAGTTCCTGCAAGTTTGGGCAACAGTCTACCAGCTGAGAAATATGTTGACTGTCTAAAACTGGGTACTTGTAGTATCCGTTATCATATATTGTTGGCGACCCGAACAGCCGTCCGTCCTCCAATGCCTCAATTGCAAGGCCCTGCAATGATGTGCCGTGGTGCTGAAGGATGTCATCGAGGGAAGAAGTGCTGCCTAAGCCGCGCAGACAGAGGAACCTCACCGGAGCAAAAGTTCGGACTGCGGCCAGCATCTCCTCGTCATCCGCATTGAAGTGTTTGGCCCATGGGTCCATGGTAACAAACAGCCGCTCTAAGCTGTGGAAAAGCGAAGCGGCTTGGGCCAGCAATCTCGGGTTGGAGTGAACGGTCATATCCAATGACCGGAGCCAAGATAGGTCGATGAGATTCCCCAGTTTCAGCAGGATCTCCTCCAACGGCCCGTATTTATCTCTAAAGTCCAATGAGAGGGACTCCAAACAAGCTGCCAGGACGGGCTTTAATTCAGCTGAGAAGTCTTTCCATTCCTGTTTGATCCTCATGATAGAAAGGTTGCCGTTAGTACCTATATCGCGTATGGTCAGATGTTTGAGGTTTTGACCCATGCAGACAAAGGGAAGAAGCTCGTCCAAGTGGACAAATTCTTGACCTCCATTGGGATCCCTTGCGGTGGAGTAAGTCACAGCGAGGGTATGGAGCCCTGGGGACCAGAGAATGTCGATCTCGAATGGATCATCCCTTGAAAAATAAGAATTAGGGCGAGTTCTTCCTAGGCCGGGTACATCGATGCTCAAGGTCTGAAAGGTCCAGATATTCACCCGGCACCCGGGATGATACTGGCGGATGGCCTGATGAACAGGTGCAGGAAACATAATTTTTATCGCGTAGTTCAGCTCTTTCAGATGCTCAAGACGGGCGATCAGCGACACAAGCGGCTGCCAGTCCTTCTGTGAATAATGAATAACACTCAAATTCAGGAGTCGAAGGATTCCCCAAGCCGGTGCTCCAGGAACGTGTCCCTGTGAGCTGGCGGAATGTACTCGGCAAACTCCATCCCCTAGTCTTTAACCTGCCAGCGACACTTTCCCTTTTTGGTCTCGATATACGAGTCATAAAGGCAAACCACATCCAACTTACGGGCATACTTGAGAAATGTCTGCCCTCTTCCACCAAGGTCAACCTCAGATGCGGTCGCCTGGAGCCCAGCCAGGTCCCGGAATTCTACTATAAGGGTTTCAAACAGAAACGGAGCCACTAGGTCACTCCACAGTCTGTTGGTTAATCTGAGCTGCGGAAGATCGCCTCGGAAGTCTGTTTTAATCTGGATATTATTAGTCTGCTGAGAGCACGAGCAGTAGGCAAACACACACCATAAAACAAATGTGTCGCAAGATTTCAATAGGGAGATTCTCCATGGTGATGTTTGTGGTGTGGATGTATATAGGGAGAGATCCGAGATTGGGTGGGAACATGCTGTGATTTTGCCCCCGCACAAGGTGTACTAGGTTAGTCTAGGTGTCATTGCAGTGCTAACATTCACGTAATTTACTGATGCCAACATTGGTTCTTTCGTCATTATTTCTCAACTAGTATTTGCTTATCTTCATCTGGCCATTCTGTCAAAAGAGTTCTGGGCTCTGATGGGATTTTCTTGATTCTATGTAATAATGAAAGATGACCTTTACGCACCCCAACCTGATTGTACTCTTTCACTCCTTGAAATGCTCGAGTGCGATCCGCAAATCATCACGGAAAGATCGTATGGTCATAATGAACAATAAGGCTGCCCAGTACCAACAGCTTCACTGGGTTGTGGTCGGATTGCGCCTCCCACACTTCTTGCATCTCGCTAATCTTGTCTTGGATCCAGTTGTATGAATGTTTAAGCTGGAATTGCATGTAGTCAGGCCACCATTCATCCCACGCTGCGACGAAGCTTACCTAGTCAGAGGCAAGACGGACCACTGCCGAACGCTAGGGCCGTGGTAGTTGCAACAAATGGCCTCCAGTTTCGCACGAGGGCGTTTATCAAGTTCTGCTAGGCCAGGCCAGGCCATAACCAACTATGCTATGCGCGCGCCCGATGTGTCAGCTCCCTGCCGTAGAATTTCTCAGAGGGATGCCACAAAACATGACTGAGGGTGTACTCTTACACTTCGGCTCGGTGGCCCCATCCAGGAAATCAATTAGTGACTTCATTGCGCTGTGTCTGTTCCGGGGCGGAGGTGGAGGAAGAGTAGAAGTGCAATCAATGGGATGGAAAGCTGGCACTTTGCCAGAGGCTAGTGTTGCTGCAGTTGCATACTCGAAGAAAAGAGGAATAACCTGAAGCTTGAGCACATGCTCGACTGTCGTGCATGACAATGGCGGTGGAGGGGGATCGTCTGGTGGAAACTCGACATAACCTTCCGTCTAGTCTCCAAATATCGATCGTAATATTGTTTTGTGGGGTCAGATGACTGTCTTGATCATTGGGTCCACCAGGGGATTTGCGCAGTCGGCTCGAACCTGGTAAGCCGCGCCCGTTGGAACTGAGAGTCAATTGACTTTGTGAGAGAAGTACCTATGACTCTGAGTAAATCGCGCGACCTCAGTTGGGCTATGATGAGGCTGTAAGGGAGAGGAGACGGAGAAGAAAAAGAGAAGGAAATGGAGGGATTGAGTGGGGGAGTAATGTTTGAGGAATAGGTTTCCAGGTGTGAATTTTGCAGGTCGTCACTTACATCAAGTTCCTGTCCAGGCCCTGTTTACCCCTCTAGGCATCCACATATTTTAGGCTTAAGTCTAAGCCTAGATCAGCTTGTGAATATCAACTATTTATATTGAAGAAGACAGATTCCAGCTTGTGTCAACCCTAATAATGCCATCTAGGGTCTTTGCAAATGTAATTGAGTGTGCAGGTAATGGATATCCAGAAGTCCCCATAGAGATGTTGATGTATGCCTTATCAGTCAGGAACAGCCCTACCAGGCCGAGATCTGCGGCCCGTTGAAGCTTCTTTCTTTAGTCGGGACTGTCGGGTAAGCTTCCTGATCCACCTCGGAAGTCCTCCTTTATCGTTCCTTCTCTCTCCTTTCCGCACTCTTTTTTCTTCGTCAACAACAACACAATTAGCAGTCTATACAACGCAACCATCCCTGATTACCGAAAGTGTCGTTGAAATGGAATAACACCCGCTTTGGACAGCTTCCTTCCAGCATCCATCAAAACAGAGACATTATATCCATAACACAACCGCGGGGGAATTTTCCGCTTCCCACTATCAGCATCAACTGAAACCTCACCGCTATTCCCACCAACACAGCACAAGACACTCTACAGAAACCTGAGATTCAAAGCAATGGACTATCGGACAAGATTACGAACCTATCAGTTTGTCAAAGAATTCTTTCAGAACCCTTGTTGTGGCTAGCGGTGTGCGCTCCCACGGAGAAGCACCAGTGGAACGTGCTTCTCAACCTCAAATTTTTCGCCATTATCGAAGAAGTCATTCTATTTCGCATCCTCGAAGTTTGCATGCTGTTGTGGAGTCTCTTACGTCTGCTTTCTGTTATCTCAGAAAGATTCTATCGAGATGATCGGTACGTCTTTCCGGCGTTGGTTCGGTGTCTCATTGTCAGCGATCTAGGGCTGACAGATTCGACAGTTCGGCTTAGACGAACATGGTCTCGACCACTCGGTCGTTGCATCATGGCGGTGCTGCCACCACTCAACTTCCTCACCCTCCATTACGCCTATTTCATCTCCACGTCGCTGATTTGCAGTATCATCTTCTGGGGTTCCGCGACTCCCTCACGAAGTGTTCAATATGCAGACGCGCTTTTCATGTGCGTCAGTGCCATGACTGGTGCTGGATTGAACACTGTACGTTCCATGAATCCAAGCCATTCAGCCTCGCTAACTCGTTTCAGGTGGACCTCTCGTCCCTAAACACGTTCCAACAGTCCATTATTTTTGCGCTACTGATCCTAGGACATGCCATTCTGATCTCAATCACGGTCCTATTTGTGCGCAAAAGAGCGTTCCAGCTCAAATTCAAGATCATTTCAGACAGGTCTGCCGCAAGAAATCTTTTCGGGCAGTCCAGTCTTGGTTTCCTGAAGCATGCGGGGAAGACCAAAACGCAGACTTCGCAACCGGGAGAACCCCATAGTCCTGAGGGCTTCCACGCGTCCGCCACGGAAAATGCCCCGTTAGAATCTTTCAATGCGGTTGACGATGACCATATCCGATGGGGCGATGACGACCAAATCACTATTGGCCATATGCAGCCACGCCATCATCAGCACCACAGAGTCTTCCCCATGGCAGGAGTGGGCGCTCGACTCGATTTGGATAACCATCCGAGAGATGTAGCTCCCACTGTACCTTTGGACGGAGAGTCAGACGAGATCCCACGATTGAAGGGGATCCTAAGAGATACACAGAAATACTTTGCCTCAAAAGGCTCCATCTCGCGGAATTCCCAGTTTCATGGTCTTACGCTTGAGGAACGTGAGAAACTAGGCGGTGTCGAGTACAAAGCAGTTTCGTTCTTGTCGGTCATCGTTCTGCTATACTGGGCGACATTCCTGATCGTCGGCATTGCGGGGGTCGGTGGCTGGCTGGAAGTAAACCATCCAGAGATTCCTCGGGCAAATGGCCTGTCGCCCTTCTGGACTGGAGCTTTCTTTGCTGTTTCTGCGTTTGTCAACAGTGGAATGTCCCTTTTGGATGCGAATATGACCGCTTTGCAAACAAAGTAATCTACCTTCTCTCTGACTCACGAGGACAACGCTGACTAGCCACAGTGCGTACCCACTTCTTACAATGGGCATGTTGATTCTTGCAGGGAATACTCTCTACCCCTGCTTTTTGCGACTCATCATCTGGACTATGAGACGCTTGGTGACGAATCGGCCATCATGGGAGACATGGAAGGTCACTTTGGATTTTATCCTCGACCATCCCAGAAGGGTATGGACTACTACGGTATTTTACCATAAGAGCTAACTGACCACTGCAGGTGTACACTAATCTCTTCCCTGTCCGCCATACATGGTACCTGCTAGGGACCATCGTCATTTTGAATGGAATCGACTGGGCCGGTTTCGAGATTCTTGCGATCGGAAATAAAGAAATCGAGACACTGCCGGCAGGTTATCGCATCTTAGATGGGCTGTTCCAGGCTTTGGGTGAGGGTCTTCATGGTCATGCTCATCACCAGCTGCTAACCCGTCTGGTATAGCTGTGCGCTCTGGAGGGTTCTATGTTGTAACTATCTCGGAATTGCGTCAGGGTCTACTTGTGCTATACGGTAAGGCTCGTAACATGAAATCTACGTGTCATCTGCTAACAATTTGTAGTTCTCATGATGGTCAGACGTTTTAGTGGTCATTCTAACCTGTCCAAATATCCAGCTAACCACTCTGCAGTATGTCTCGGCGTTCCCAGTTTTGGTGACCATGAGGTTCGTCTCGTCCACTTATTCTAAACTTCCTTGGCTAACTGCCGCAGAAACACCAATGTGTACGAAGAGCGCTCCCTAGGCATTTACGCCTCAGACGAACCGCTCGACGCACACGGCAGCCAATCCCCCAATATTGTCATGAGCCTAATCCGACATCACCTCCTCGGACGCCAGGATGTCTCAACGGTCGAGTCCTCGCGCAGCTACTTCGTTCACCAACAGCTCCGCTCTCAACTCAGCCATGACATATGGTGGATTGCCCTCGCAGTCTTCTTCATTGCCATCGCCGAGTCGCCACACTACTCCGAGGATCCCGTCGCCTACTCAACCTTTAACATCATTTTCGAGGTTGTCTCCGCCTACGGCTGTGTCGGCATCAGCGTCGGCTTTCCAGGTAAAAATTACTCGTTTTGCGGCTCGTGGCATACCATCAGCAAGCTGATTCTGGCGGCTGTTACACTGCGGGGACGGCACAGGGGCCTTCCTGTTGCTATTGATCAGGCCGTAATGCTGCCGAATGAGTCGCTCGCTTGGGCAGAGGAGGAAGATGCTGTTCTGAGACGTGAGCAGACGCGTACGTATGGAAGTGAAAAGATGCCCGTGGGGACGGTTTAGTCTTCCTTTGATATCGTCCGAGTGGTTGATACACGAGGCGGCTATACAATTTTTTGCTCCTGCTTTTGCGTGGACTTTGCATATATACCTGGTTGTGATGTTCATATATTACTGTAGATATATCATTCTAGCCATAGACTTCTCTACTTCATAGTCCACATGCATATTTGTTTGTATAATGACCGTTGTGGTCCCTTGATGTGTATGTGTACAATGTCCCCGAACCTTGCAACTTTTATAGATATCATAGCAGGAATTGTCCCAAGCTACAGGACTACTTGTAATGAACGAAACAAACAGAACTTAAGACAGAAGGAGGGTATCTGAAGGAAGGGGGCATCTACTCTTCCT